GTTAGTCAATATTCTGTTGGAACTGTCTACGGCGTGCTGACGAGGTCCAATAATTGTACATTTCGGGAGAGGATCGCTACCGTCTATTTCGGTTAATTTTATTGTCCCCGTATTGTATAGTCTTCATAAAATTGCGTTCATTAAATGTTTGCGCCAATGTAAGGAAAATTTAATGCAGCACGAATTCGTATAACCCCTAATCGTTCGGATCTCTCAGCGAAGCTTTTGTTTCAACGGAATATGGCAACAGCGAACTAGGGAGTTTATGGTTAAAGCGACGGTCCTCCGAGACGTGCTACAATCCTGTGTCTCCGTGACCGTTTTATCTTCTCTTGTTTCCTTCACGTGAAATCCGTCCCAGATTACCTCCCACACTCTCGCCACATGTGGCAGGAATAAGCCCGGCGACGATTTCACATAGAATTTCCATTTGCAAAGTGCGCCCTTGTAATTAAATTTGACAAAACAACCGCTTGACCCACACCGAGCGAACTAAAATTCCCTCTGAAAACCACGCGAAAACTACCACCTCAACGGAGTTCTCTCGTTTAGGGTTTCAGGAAATCGTTATCTCTTTTCATCGGGAAAGGGATTAAAATAACTACATTTTCTATGACAGGATTAAGCTTTTAACTAAAGTGGTCATTGTTTCTTTAATCGGCCATGAGCGAGTCAGATCCACGATTTGATATTATTGTAGAGTAACTTATATACGTAATAATGACATTATCAAGACTATTAGTTGAACCAGACAAATTCGGAAGGATGGATACCGTTGTCGAAGGTCCTAAATTAGGTAAACGGGTCAAGTTTTGCAGTAGGAAAATTTACCTCGATGCGTTTGGAATTACAGAGTGATACTTAGTTTGTACAAAAAGCAACAGGCAGTTAGAAGGGTGGAACAGCAACGCAGTATAGTAAATATTAAGAAGGGAGTTAGAGAAGGCTCCACACTGCCACCACTGCTTTTTATTCTATATATCGAAGACGCGATCAATATCACTAAAGACAGTGAAACTTTAGGGATAGATATGCAGGGACAAAGGATTAGTATGCTTAGATTTGCAGGAGGATTAAGAGATAGCTTTAAATAAAATGAAAGCGGTATTGACAAAACAGTATTATATGAAGATAAATAAACGTAAAACAAAAATACTGGTATGCAGGGGAAGAAAAAGTAGTTAAAGAGCGAATATAAAGGTAGGAGATGAAAGATTTAGAAAAAGCGTCTGATTTTAAGTATCTAGGAAGTCAGATAAGTTAGGACGGAAGGAGTAGTAGGGATATACCTAAAGCAGAGGATAGCGCAGGGTCGAGTCGCCTTCAATAAAAAGCTTTGAGCGCGGCGCTGTAGAAAAGGTAACAAGCGTTCGAAATGTGGTGTTATAGGCGAATGCTGAAGATGTCGTGGATAGAGAAGGTTATAAATGAAGAAGTATTAGAAAGAGTAGGAGAACAGAGGACTCTATGGAAGTCAATATAAGAAGTAGGCGAGATATGTTGGTAGGACACCTTATCAGGAATGAAGGGCTAGTCACAGACATGTTAGAGGCAGAAACAGGAGTTAAATAGATTGAGGTAGACCTAGATTAGACTACTGAGAAGCTAAACTTAAAGTAATATATAATCTATCAAAACATTCAATCACGTCTCACAAATTGGTAAAGGCTTTCGCGGTCGGTAGGCGAATTGATGCTGCCTTGATTCGGGTCTACCTAATGTTTCTCTAGCAGAATTGGCAAACTTCTTTAGAGGTCCTTCTACCTCCGATGCTGAATGTGTTAATTCAATCACGTATTTGTCAAAATACATAAAATAACTTCTCTATAAATTCATAGGTATCTTATTCGGTTCTGTAGAAAATAAAATTAAATAATATAAAGTATACTTACGTTAGCTAGGTACACAATATGTATTCTATTGAAGCAATAAATGAAATTCTACCTTCCGTTTCGAAAGTTTTATTTTGTTTTTAATTTCCTTCAAAATGTTAGCTCATTACATGAATGGATTGTTTACGGTTTCAACTTCGATCGTTAGCCACTGAAATTGCTATTCCTTTATAAGCTCGAAAGACTTTGTAATATAGATTAAAATCGACAAAAATCTGTCCACAAAAATCACCGCAATCCCATTTCGAAGTTCTTCGTGACCATAAAACTTAACAACTTCTCTAAACCAGTAAAAATTTATTGCCACTCTCGATCGACCTTTTCTACTGTTATTCGAGTGCAAAATTCAGTTAAAACTTATTTTTAAAGAAATCTTGTTGGCACAATCATTTAATTATTTCCTGAAAAGGAACATAAAGTCAGTAGGAGAAGAGAACTTATTAAATTTCTATTTAATGGGTTTTCTTTCTTTTCCGGAAAACGCTCTAAAAAAAGGTCGGTGGAAATCGTTACTTTGTTCAGAGAGCACAATATACTCAGAAAAACGATGCCCCTTTATTAATTAGAACATTCATACTGTTACAAACCTTCTGTTTCACCGCAGGTTCATGCATTATTGCTTGTAAATCAGATACCATTTCAGGTTTAATAAAATACGCCCACGTACATTGCGTAGTTATACCTATAGTATCTATAACCACTACAGTTCAGTTTAGATTTATAGATACCATTCATACACAAGTCATTTATCTGTTGTGTATAATTGAATCGGTTTCATATCGAATAAGGACTTCTGTTATACTGAATTGTGACAGTGTTCTTTATTGTGCTTATCTAATAGTAACTACCTAATAGCAAATGAATTGTTATTATTTTGTTAACAATAGCAAGAGCAATAGGAGTTCCCTATTATTACTCTTCTATTCTAAATTTTCACGTACAATTTTTAGGCAGTAGGCATAAGAGCTAAATAAAATTTGGTATGAAAATCTGCATTGAATAAATCTTCAAGCGGTATGATATTATGATTGGGCAAACTAATTCGATAGAATAGGTCAATTTTCGAAGAAGCTTTAAGTGTTAATTGGACTTCTTATGCGGACAAGGCAAGCTTGAAATTTGGCATAATTGTCAACAGCAGTATCTAACCCAATTAAGAAGGTAAAGCGCAAAAAGTCGTATACAATTTAAGAGGAGCATTGCGGATAGCTAAGGAAATACAGTGGGTGGCTAGATAAGATTTAATTTGGGATTCCCTGGTGTTTCATATATGTATCGGTAGATTCAGTAGTCAGCGCCTACTGTTACGTCTTCTATAGTTTCTTTTTTGGTTTATGGCATACTTCGTTTACTTTCTGTAGCGATGTGACCTTCAGTTTGACCGGCGCAAAGTAGAAAAGAACTGCACTAGGCCAGAAAAGGAAGGAGACAACTCTTGGCCAAACTCTTAACCGGTGAGGAGCGTATAATCCGTACTGTACTGCACGGAAAAATTGACCATTTTATCCACTAAAATTGCATTGCTCAAATGTGCTGTTATTGGTACCATTTACTACTAATAATATCAATGAGATGTTTATTTATATTTGAAGACATATTAAAGGCTTTAACACTTGTTTTCGACTCGTACTACTATTCATGATTGAACAAAACTTTTGGCAGGTACTGTATGAAAAAATATATGTTTAATGAACAAGAGTCGAGAGTATAATGAGCTTTTTTCTCCCTACCTACGATTTTGCCAGCGCGCATCCGAGACATTGGAAGGGGCACATCGCTAGAGAAAGTAAATGAAGTATAAGTACATTCATTTTATCCCATGTCCAGTTGCTGCTGCTAACGAATACGATATTGTTTAGGTATATATATCAGAAGTAATATTTGCCAGTTTACTTATCCAACATAAGGAACTGTTTCAATGAACTATGTCGTACCCAGGTACAGACATGTATCGCCATCTAGTTGATATTTACCGCTACTAAAGTATTTCAACCTTAATAAACGTTCTTATTAAACAATATCCAAAACATACGTTCACTTTAAACAGCCCATTTGAAATAACAATGAATATCAAATGTTATTACCTAAAATGGACTGCATTAATCATATCATCGTGTCCATTGTGTTATGTGACGAAAGGCCTAATTTCAATGTTATGCAAAATCCGATACTTATCATTAAGAACAAAAGGAGTGAAACCGATGTAACCAAGACCTGAATATGGAATGGGTAAATTCCAAAAGATCTGAAGCGTCCCCCGATACGCAAATTATTATTAACGTACTCAACGTAAAAGAACATCAATATTCTTGCTTCACACTATAGGCCGCACACTCTTTGCTTTTGGTCCAGTCAAATAGTCCAAAATTGCCTTTAACATTTGATTTTGAATGAATATGAGGCACGACGTGATCTGCTTTTAACAGTATGGATACACAAATGAATCATTAACCTTCTCTGTTCATCTAAATGGTAGATGCAAGGAAAACGTTGCTATCGGAAAGTAATTTCCATTTGGACAACCCTTCAAAGCGCCAAGTAATTATATTGGTATTGATTCTTGATCAGTGTTAGTAAAATTGTCTAGTAATAACGTACAGAAATGGACATCGATCGTTTAAGGTATTAGTTCACACTACTGTTTATCTCATTTTCTAGTCAATAACTCACTTTCGACTGTCCTATAACATATACAACGCGACCGATTTCTTATCGAATGTTCAGTGAGTTCTCCAACTCAAATAAATCAAACGAAATTATATTGAATAGGAAAATTCACAGTTGTTTCTTTCTTTTGAATAATCATGCTAAAATCTTATAATTTGTATTCGCCGATTTCCCCTAGAATTTGAAACCTATTTAGGTACCCACTTACTTATTTACAATATCGAACCCGGGCCCCTGGTTTTACACACCAATAAATTACGGGAGATGACAGCAGCAAAAACGACGAAAGGTGCACCTAAGGTGTCATAAGTATTATCGAAACCAACCCTACATAATTACCAATATATGTATGTAGGAAATATTTCGTACTTATAATACAATTTTTCTATAATTTCGAAAACCAATTTCCAGAACTAAATTTTTCCGTTGCACTTGTTCCAGACATATGGAGCTGTAAGAGTTTGAAAAGTGTCAACTTGAGCGTGCCAATTGCCGTGCGAGCGGGTCATTCCGTAACACTTGAATGCGACTACGACCTGGAGGGTGCCCCGCTGTATTCAGTCAAGTGGTATTATGGCGACTCAGAATTCTATAGATATGTGCCAAAAGAAGAACCACCTACAAGGGTATTTCCCCTACGTGGGATGCATGTCGACGTAAGTCTTACATAAAAGTTCAAATTGAATAAATTGCCAAGTGTCTGTCTGCCTATCTAGCTTCCTATATAAATATCTTGTGAAATGTACGTGTACCTAACTCTGCTTCAAACCTTTTCTATACGCTGAATAAGTCTCATTAGTGTACAGCAAAAAGTACTGAACATTTTAAGTCGATAATCATGAAAACTGAATCAGTTACTACTACAGAGTTAGGTTCGCTAAAAACTCCCTGAAGAAGAATCAGTGGATTTTTACCAATTGTCAGTGAATAAAATCGTCCCGAAATAAAACTCAACGCTAAAGTTTGAATTGTCATGAGGCCGAGAACATTTAATGAACTATTCAGTTTAATAGAAAATATATAATATAAAATTTACATATTAGATACAAATATTTTAATAGCTAACAAATTTTCAAAGGTATATATTGGAAAAAGTAATTATCAGTATTTAATAAATATGTTGCAACAATTATGTTCCAATTTAGATCCACTTATCGTGTTAATAATGAGCGCAAGCCCTTATGGATTCCAGTGTTAATTCGAATTCTACCATAAATTACCACTAATAGTGCAACAATTTGTGAGAAGTCCTTAAATGCAATTTACCAATATCAGTTGGTAGTTAGATTATTATCGATATAATCCTAATTACGACTCTATAATAGCATTATGCACTGACAAACATATCAACATCATTGCATACCTACTACTTGTATGCACATTAATACATATATATATATAGTCAATCTATATTTAACAGTGTTTATGGAAGTTTTTAAAATCATCATCATCACAAGGTTGTTAGGCCTAAAACTGATGGGACAAGCATTTTCACTCCTTCCTATCCTGAATTTATATACGTATTTCCCTAAAACTGGAACACCTTCTTACACATTCCCAAAAAAATATGTTCAGCCTCTCAGAGTCTCTGAAAGCGAGACTCGAGTCTCCGTCTCTCACCGAGTCTCTCTGGTGTCGCTGAGAGAGACTGTCAAAAAAATTGTTTAGCGTCTCTGAACGAGAGATTCGAGTCGCTCATAGAGAGATCCTCATTTCGTATCCAGTCTCTGAACGAGAGACTCGAATCTCTGAATACGAGACGCGAATCTCTCAATAAGTGGTGTCTCGATAGACATGGTTAAAATTTTCTAAGTTCAACATATTTCAGAGATCCCAGTCTTTCTACGAGAGACTCGAGTCTCTCAATTTTTCATTTTTATTCATTCAGTCTCTCTGTCACACAGTCTCTCATACAGAGACTGTGAGAGATTCATAAGAACACCTAGGCAATAACTGAGAAACTGTGAAAGACTGTGAGAGACGCTCTCAGAGACGCTGAAAGACTCTAAGAGACTGGAGAGAAACTGAAAATTTTTGTCTAAGGATCTTTAACTGTTTGTGAATAGTCATCTAATCTAAGTCTACGTGTACTCCTCTTAGCTCCTGTTTTTGCTTCTAATATGTCACTAACTAACCCATCAAGCCTGAGAACCAACCTTCCATAGCGCTCTCTATTTTCCTACTCTTTTTAATACCTCTTCATTTCTAATCTTCTCTATCTACGATATCCTCATATTTCGGACACTTCTAACAGTTTCTTTTCCCTCGCGCCCACCGTTCACGTTTCGCACCCGTACAGCACCGTGCTCCAGACATACACCTTTATCAATTTTTTTACAATTTCTAAGTAACTTCTTTTTGCTAAATGGGACTCGACCCTGCGCTATTCTCTGTTTTACATCTCTACTGCTCCTAAAATAGTAACTAATTGAAAAGGATTGGGTAATATATTAAGTACTTAATGCAGTAAATTATTAACAATTTTATTTATTCTATTAATCAGTGAGTACCGAATGAAACCTTTTCAGTAACTGGTAAAAGCTTTACAATAATTCGTAAAAATTAAAAAATTAGGACAAGTTTTACGTTATGTTCCGTTGCTTCTCTGTAAAATCTTTCTCCTGAGGTTAATCTTTTCAAAAGGCTCTTTCATGGGTCGCGCACCATGAAAAGAATTTGCGTTTCGTGCCGAAAATTAATTTGCTATTACATCGTAATTAATGGCCAAATCTGTGCGGGATGAAAGCAATCTAATGGTCGGAGGGTTGAGCTATTTATGCAAGAAAATTAGCTCTTTTTTAGCACAGTTTAACAGACACAATTGTTGTGGTTAAGCATCTACATCGATTGGTATCATAAAAGCGTATTAGGTAATTAAATTTCAATAACAAATGCCATAAAGCCTTCAAACGCTGCTCAAAGAAACTTACGTTTTTTGTTTTACGCTATAATTAATAATGTTGCCTAATGTTCGATACTATCTTATCTCAAAACCCTTTAGATTTTTTTTGTTATTGTTTATAATATTAAAGTAAGTATTTAACATGATAAGACAGCTTGTTTTTGGAAGTTGGTTAAAAGGAATGATTAAAATATCTAATAGCATTACAAGAAAGTAATAAAAAAATTTCCAAAATTAGAAAACATCTATCTACTATTATTGAATTAGAAAATTAAACTTAACAGCAGTCTTTTTGATGTGAAACTTCTTCGAGGTCGATGAGAGTAAAATCTCAAGGTCATGAAACGACACGTTTTTGCAACGATTCGTCTCGCGGAAAAGGCTATGAGAATAGAAAGGCGCGCATGCGCATATCGGTATTACAGTCACTACAGACTAAAGATAAAATATGTTATAATAATTCTCGTACTCATTCACCAATCATTAGTTATTCGTTATAAAGGTATAGAGATCGCCAAACAAGTTTCACTTCGTTCACATGTACTGAGTTGCACGTGTTGTTTTCTTTTTTGTTATTTTTTAATTTGAATTTTCACCGTTTCCATACAAAAGATTGAAACTTTTGAGTAGAAAGGTTATCCAATTCTGAAAAGCAACTTGACATGGTGCGTTAATTTTGCTTATTATGCACATCGATTCACATATTCACTGACGTTTTATTATGTAGAGCTTATTTTGCGGAAAAGCCAGCTTTTGACAATTAAACATTGAACGACTCTCATGCTCCAACCGTTAAATTTATTATACATACATACATACCTACCTATGCCCGTAAAAGTTTGATATGTACAGAAAATTTAATGTTGTACAAACCAGATCTGTATAATTCCCTCTAACTCAATTTTTGTGGTAGGTAATGGGAAACCACAAAAAAGGTAATTTCTTTTTCTCTTATGGTTTTAATTCTTGTGTTAATAATTATGAACTTGCCTATAACCAGCCGAGAGAGTTTAAAATCTGGTTGTTGAATGTTTGGATTCGTCTGTGTCACTATTAGTAATATTATTATTTCGACAACAACGTTCCGCCAAAGTTTTACAGGAAACACTTACGAAGTTCCTAAAATTGTTCTGATTCAAGTCCCCTAAACTGTTGAAGATTCCCTTGGATAAATTCGAAATTTACTTGACATTCTTCTGCTTTCAAAGTAAGTTGTTAGACTGACAACCTTTTGTTTGTGGACCTCTGTCGGTTCGCTAACTTTCAACAAGTTTCCCTTCGTATTATGGAGCGACGATACCGAATTTCGCGGTCTTGTAAATAGTTAGAGCGCCAGGGATACGAGGAGATTTCTTCGCTTCCCGAATATGCACAGCATCGTGAAGAAGTGTTGATGGGATAATATGAGTACAACAACAACAACAACAATAACAACCAACCGCCTACTCTAATTAATACGGATTTGAGCCTTAATAATTAGACAAGGACGTCATCCAACCAAGCCAGCCGCTTTCATCGAGTTTTCGTCTATTCGTTTTTGCTTAAGTAATTATCTGTAGGCTGTATGAAAGGAAGAAGAAGACGGACAAGAAGTGAGAAGTATTAGTACTATGAGTTATTGCGGGGTACCGGGCGCGTCATTCTTAAATTGAATATTAATGGAACGTCGAAATTTAAGCGGATAACAAAGCTGATGGAACATTTCGAAAAATCCTGAATTCATTAATCTCTTTTCGAGGGAATTTTACTGCCTTCAAAAAACCAAATAAAACATAATTAAAGATGCTGATGAATGAGAATAGGAGATCAAAGATGGTAATAGAATAGCTGCAGAAGACCGAAAGTTGTTGAAGAATTAGCCTGAAACGCAGTGGCGGATGATACGTACCACCCAAAAGGTGCATGCCCAAACCTATTCCTACAAGAAAAAAATATTTCGTTTTCTATTGAATTATTATCTAAGGGCTAAAGTAAAAATTTCATCCACGTAAGGTAAATATCTACCTATTACGTAAGCAGAATTTTGCTGATTGTGGGTTACCCCGTTCTTTTTTTGTTTTCGTGGAAGGGAATCTTTAAAAGACACCCTGCCGCCCGAATGACTGGGTAGTGTCGTATAGCCGAGGAAGGTGTCCTCGGAACTACCGACTAAAACCCCTCTACCTCAGGCCGTTATAGGACCTATCAATTCAGATCCTCTTCAGCGGAAAGGTTATCCTGATCTCCTTCCCATCTTTATTAGAAAAAATAAGAAAGTTGAACACCCCCCTCACCTTCTTCCAGTATTCCAGTAGTAAGACAGTGAAGATTCTTTTAATGTTTTTATTAAAACAAACAAATAAATCTTGAAAAACAGTTACAATTAAATACTTACTCGTATATCTAAACGTTCACGAGCCGGCACTGTTCAAACGTCTTATCGACAGTGGATTGATTCCTAGTTAGCAATTTAAGCACGGTCCAATTGAATATGTTAATTCGATTGCTTCATTCTCATAATCCAGCCAAAAGGGAATTTAATCAGAAAATTCTGCGATTGGCTTTGAACGAAAATAATTGTAGACGCAGAGAAAGTTATATCTCTCAATTACTTATCGGTTTTCAAAAAAATTTAATCTTATTTTACCAGAAATTTTCTTTAAAAATCAAAGGATAACGATATTACTGTAAAGTTTAGACTCTTGCTATAGAATAATTATTGTTTTGTGAAACAGCCGTAATATTTTATTATTAAATTCTGTGAAGTACTGTCCACTTGTACAATGAGCTTTTATATTTGTATTTGTGTATTTGCAGAAAAAGCATTGTTTTCAATAATAAATAGTTTTATTTGCAATTACCCAAACAATTAAAAATTGAAACAAAGCAAAGTTGTATAAAATGGCAATTTGGCATTTACTGCTACTGGATCAGTTGTTTTTGCTTTTACAACGCTGCAGTCCTCAACAAGCAAATAAATGAACTAAAAAATAATAAATAAGCGACAAAATGAAATTAGCAATAATCAAATACAACTTTTTAAACCTGTTCCAATTTTAGGAATTTTCAAGAGTATCGGAGGACCCAAAGTTAGGTTTCATTTGCGAGTTTGGATTACCGATTAATCAATTTTCAAATACCTGCACTTGATTAGAAGAGTTTCTTTTGACGATTTAATAGCGTTTATCTTGACGCCTAATCCTTTAGTAAATGTCAATTAATCATTATCAAGTTCTTCGCTTTGTATTGTATAATATGCGGATTAGGTTTTGCATTGGTACAGAATAATTAACGTGTCCTATATATCGTATTTACAGTCAGTCGTTGATGGTAACGACATTATATCTATTCTACGTCATTGTCAGCCAGAATTGAAATAATTGTACGCGACATGTACATTATGTGCCAGTAAATTCGCACGTATTTTCTACATTAATGACCCTTTTGTTTCATTAATGCCTGCGTGTTCACGCCGTCGTGATTTCCATAACGAATGCTCCTTGCAACTCGAGGATATGTTTCAACGTAAACGTTCGGACTCTACTCCAACTATCGCTACACATGCATACGTACGTAAATAAATACTATAGAGTGCACGTAAATACGTATGCATGTGTGTAAATTGTACGTTACATGTGTGTGTGTGTTAGGACGCGATGTTATGTGCATATTCAATGCGGGGGTCAATCGTTCCAATGGACGAGGCCTTAGGGGAAATTTATCAATCGATCTAACGAAGCGTTATCGTGTTTGAAAATGAAAGGTACCAATATATTATAAGCGCATGTTCTTCTGTTAAATTTATTAAATCAATAACATTGGATATCATTTAAACTGTAACTTGATATAAACAGCTACACTCGCATTCTCTTTGGATTTATATCGATACAGAACGCAGGAGATTTCTTTAAGCCTACTGTTGCGGGCGAATGCCGAAGGCAGCGATCGATATCGGCCGGTCTTAGATAATATGCGGGCGGCAGACGTAAGGCTACTGCGGCAAACAACAACCGTATAAATAAATGACATGCATCCAAGGGGTTACAGCTGATATAAAAATAAAAAATAGATAAATAGAGTAGTAGGGATATAAAGCAGAGGATAGCGCAGGGTCGTGTCGCCTTTAATAAAAAGAAGTCACTTCTGTTCGGAATGGTAAATTTAGAAATTCGAGAAAGGTTGTTAAAGGTGTATGTTTGGAGCGCGGCGTTGTACGGGTGTGAAACATGGACAGTGGGCGCGGCGGAAAAGAAAAGGTTAGAAGCTTTCGAAATGTGGTGTTATAGGCAGATGATGAGGATAACGTGGGTAGAAAAGGTTAGAAATGAAGAGGTATTGGAAAGAATAGGATAACAGAGGACTCTATGGAAATTAATAAAAAATAGGCGAGATAGGTTGGTAAGACACCTTCTCAGGCATGAAGGTCTAGTCAGAGACATATTAGAGAGAGAAACAGGAGTTAGGAGGGGTAGAGGTAGACCTAGATTAGATTATTTTTCGCAAATAGTTAAGGATGTGGGCTGTTCTAGTTTTAAGGAAATGCGAAGTTTAGCTCAGGATAGGAAAGAGTGGTGGTGCGTATCTAACTAGTCTTTGGACTGACGACCCTGTGATGATGAAATAGAGTAGAATATAATTTTTCGACCTAACGCTTGTCGTATACAATTGAGATAATCCCTCAATTTTAACTTGATAGTTTTACTTATTATGTCATAAGTTGAATTTTTCTTTCGAGTTTTAAATTCCTAGAAGTAATTACTTCGTGTTCGCCTCGATTTTTTTTCTTAAATTTTCCATTTTTTCTATTTTGTGCTTAATAACAGTAATGTTATTTATGTTACAGGTATCAGGGTCAAATGCGCGAAACGTGACACTGCTCACCGTAGGTCGACAACTATCCGGAATATTTAAGTGTGAAGTGTCCGCTGATGCTCCTTTGTTTCATACCGAGATTAGATCTGCCAAAATGGTAGTTGCTGGTAAGTATAATAGAAATTAAAAAATTTGAAATATTATTCTGAAAATTCATTTTTGAATTGTATACCCACTACACTCTACCTCAAATTAATGAGGGAAAAATTGTTGCTGTTGTCACACCCCCGCCGGGAGTCGAACCCGGGACCATGTTCTGACCACTAATAATAATAGAATAGAATAGAATAATATTTCATATTAAACTAACTCACTTCTAAAAGATATCTAAATTATATGTATGTTTAATCATAGTATATTCAGTATATAGTTACATTAGTTCGACGGATCGTTAACCTTGTAGGTCGGTTGGTCGTGGTTGTTGTTGTCACCTCTCGTAGTTTAGTGGTCAGAACATTGGTGCGTAAAGCCAAAGGTCCCGGGTTCGATTCCCGGCGGGGGTGTGACAACAGCAACAATTTTTCCCTCATTAATTTGAGGTAGCGTGTAGTGGGTAAAAAATTCAGAAATGAATTTTCAGAATAATATTTCATATTAAACTAACTCACTTCTAAAAGATATCTAAATTATATGTATGTTTAATCATAGTATATTCAGTATATAGTTACATTAGTTCGACGGATCGTTAACCTTGTAGGTCGGTTGGTCGTGGTTGTTGTTGTCACCTCTCGTAGTTTAGTGGTCAGAACATTGGTGCGTAAAGCCAAAGGTCCCGGGTTCGATTCCCGGCGGGGGTGTGACAACAGCAACAATTTTTCCCTCATTAATTTGAGGTAGCGTGTAGTGGGTAAAAAATTCAGAAATGAATTTTCAGAATAATATTTCATATTAAACTAACTCACTTCTAAAAGATATCTAAATTATATGTATGTTTAATCATAGTATATTCAGTATATAGTTACATTAGTTCGACGGATCGTTAACCTTGTAGGTCGGTTGGTCGTGGTTGTTGTTGTCACCTCTCGTAGTTTAGTGGTCAGAACATTGGTGCGTAAAGCCAAAGGTCCCGGGTTCGATTCCCGGCGGGGGTATGACAACAGCAACAATTTTTCCCTCATTAATTTGAGGTAGCGTGTAGTGGGTATAAAATTCAAAAATGAATTTTCAGAATAATATTTCATATTAAATTAACTCACTTCGGAAAGATGTCGAAATTGTATGAAATTAAAAAATTATTTCGCATATTATAAACGAAAGCATAAAAAAAAGTTGGTAACACTATTAAAGTTGGTCATTTTGTAACGCCGCATTCAGAGACGGTGTCGTAAATTGCACATCGACGCCGATGGGACGGAATAGTGTCATTAAAATTACTACCTGATAAAGATACCAGGCGGAAAAGTACCATCACCTCGAGGATATGTACCGTACCGATTGCATCATTAAAATTTTCAATTCGATTCTCGCTGATGGGTAATTTCGAAGTAGACAAACGTCCTCTTTTTAATTACATTTTTCAACGGCTTTTATTACATCGTTCAGTGACGGTTTTGTAGGGAAATTGAAAAGAAACTGTCAATCGATAAAGTACGCCCTGCACCCACAACATTTTCATTAGGTCTTAATACGAAATGGCGCAATAAAGGTGACGACTCGTCGAATCCAATCTTTTATTCTCGCTATCTCTCTCTCTTCGTATAATATTTTGCTATCATTCCCGCATTTGGTTAGGTGTAGGTACATTTTGAGTTGTCATTTAATCGTCTTGTTATTGATTAGCTGTCCTTTTTCTTTTCCGTCCTTAATTGATGAGCTTTCGACGTGCGAAACCGAACGAACAATAATCAAACGAAGGAGATACACTGGTCGTGTTTCCTTCATTTCCTTACCCATTTTTCCTAAGTTGTATGTCTTCTTTCTGTGCCGAAATAAAAGCTTCGTGATAACAATTACCTCGAATGGTGCAATCACTTTTCACAAGCCTGAAATTAATACAACGAACGGAACATTACAGAGTATAAAATCTGTTTCAAAATTAACTACCCACTTAACGAATAGTGAGAACTACAGAGAAATATTAGAATTTAAAAGAATATAAAATAATATGGGGAATAATCCATCATGCCCTGAAGAAGCTCTGTATTTATCTGAAACTTTAAGTGCAGCGATTAATTTGATATCAACAACTAATATTGTGATTTTCATTAAGAAAGTCCATTACAGAAAATAAGGATCGAGAAGTATTTTGATAGTTTTTCAGAAAAACTCGAGAACATTCCTTAATAGTATAAATATGTACGAGGGCGGTTCAATAAGTACCCGTGTTTGAAGACAGAGGACGTTCCTGAGGGAAATTGGTGTTGTCATCGTGTGCTGCCATCTATCAAACCACGCCAAAACGAATTTCAGACTGATTGATAGGTTAGTTTGGATTTGGCAGCCATTCGACTGAGACGTGTTTCGTTATTTTGGCTAAGATGGAAAAAGAGCACTATCGTTGGATAACTCGCTTTTTGTTTTTGGATGGGAAAAAATGCGAGGAGATGAAAACAAAGTTGAATACTGTTTATGGAGACATTTCGCCATCTACGACCACAGTTTGATATTGCTTCGACGAATTTAAACGTGGGCAAAGATCCGTTTTTGATAGGAGCGACCAGGAAGCCTGGCAAACGTTGTTACCCAGGAAATCATTTTACGGATTTTTTTGGGAAAGGGAAGAACGATCACTGGACAATACTACAGTGAGTTATTGGACCGCTTCGACAAAAAATTGAAGGAGACCCTGACGCATTTGACGAAAAAGAAGGTGCGTTTTCAACACGATAACGCACCGGCACATTCATCAGGAGTTGTTGCCGCCACATTTTACTCCCTGCGACTTCATCTTGTTCCCTACCATGAAGAAATGACTAGCGAGAAATAAATTTATCTCAAACGAGGAAGTCATCGCCGAGACAGGGGGGATTTTGGAGAGTTCGACAAATCTTATTTTTTGGATGGGTAAAAAAATGGCAGGGTCGTTGGGAGAAGTGTATCTTTCTAAAAGGGAACTATGTTGAAAAATAAAAAAACAAATTTAAAAAAAAAGGTGTCATTTCTAACACGGGTACTTATTGAACCGCCCTCGTATGTAACTGGTAGACAGTTGCATAGTCAGTCGATTATAAATATCTAATGTAATAAGTCGATATAGACCAATTTTTATAAAAAAGCAATTATTGATAATAAAATCGTACAAGAAGATTTTATTTGCTTCTAGTTGTCTATTGCAATTTTCAATCAGAAGCCTGTAATAAATAAAGCACTGTCAAATTCCTAAGTTTAGTTGATTTCTATCCCGATTATTTGTATATTGCAGATTAAAACAAATGTTATTAACGCTGAAAACCTTTTAAACGTTTATAAAGTTAATAACTTTGCAAATGAAGTGTCTCGATGTACCTATAAAATGTAGTTTATGTTTTACCCTTGGGATTCGAAAATTGAATTTTCATTCGTGCCAACGTAATAGTTCTATAAATAAATCGTGTTTCAAAAAGGCACGGAATTGTATAAGGTTTTCAGGAGGAGTATTTTTGCTAGAGGTTTAATTACATATCTATTACCTTAGTGTTGGTTCGTCGTCGCCCCGCTTTTCGCGCTTTTAGTACAAAAGCATTCAAAGAGTTCTTTGTAAACGGGAAAATTAAATAAAATGGAAAGCAAATTTACGAAAGCATGACGGACAAACTCGATTTTGTTTTACGTAGGCTCTAACAGAAGCGCTATTACGTCATTGTTTCAGGAAGAAGTTGTATATTAATAATGACTCTTTAGAATTTCGAAATGTCGAAAGCTCTATATTTCTTCTAAACCAAATCCTGCAATGGATTTTCAATCTTACAAACTTTCCTATTAGTCCTTAAAGCACATTTTAGTGAGAATTGTACCTACCTACCACATAACTCTAAATAAGTTGAACTGAATCTATTCTAGAAATATCAGTTGTGCCTAATACTTAATAGGTTTTTTTTTGAAACTGTAAATTCGAAATTCATTTGCCGTTTCCCAAAGTTCAGCAGAACGCGCAATATACTTTATTTGTCACGGAAAAACAAAGTCAATTAGGGGCGAAATCAATACGCCAGTTTCATAAATCAAGTCCTGTCTCGAAAGTGTGGTCCCAGTTTCCCAGCGGGTAAGATAGGGTACAAGGAGCCGTTTTGGAAAAATAAATAATTTTGCTTTGATAGTGATCGAATCATGCGAATAAACTTTTCTGAAACACGCCGCTTGTGGCAGCTTTCCGGGTTACCCCGGTAATTCCCGAGAGGAATCCTTCAAAGGACTCTAGGGACATAAAAAAAATCTCTGCGACGGAGTGGCAAACTTTCGTTATGGCTAAGCTAGGCCAATAAATTTTATGGTTGACGATAAAGGTTGCTCAAAAAAAGCTTTTGTCAGGAAGATAGAAAGCAAAAAAAGGCAATTACCAGCTCCAAAGACAAATATGACGTGGCTCACGATAATTTGACGGTTTTCTGAATTCTGGAGGAAAATAAATATGAGATATATTTATAGGTAAATGAATATTACAATACGAGACGTTTCTATGTACGTTTTGAGTGTTGGAGGAGCAAGGGTGTAACCACATGATGAAGAGATCCTGCAAACGGCGCTATAAACGCCATCTTTAGTACAATGCTACATGTAGTGGAATTCAATATGTTCAGCGATGTCCATTTACATAAATGGATATCATCTGCTTGCTGAACCGAGCGGCATGGCCTAGAGATTTAGACCATTGCTTAGCATTCGGGAGGACGCCGGTTCGATTCCGGGTCCGTCTGCCTCGGTCCAAGTTTTTCTGTGGTTTCCTTGGATCACTTAGACATATGCTGAGGCAGTAACATTCCACAGATAATCTTTCATTCTCTTCTGCCTTCATTTCGTCCGTCTCAACTTTCTCACCCGAACCACCACCCACCCATTCCCACGATTCCTGAAAGGAGGCTCAAGAAGGCCTTCCGTCCTAACTTCCGGCATAGTCCGGAGGGACTACCCGCCCACTGGCAGCATTACTGGCTGGTGGGAATGAAATACCCAAAAGTTTTTTTTTCTGCTT